TTTAATAAAATTTGTCAATGTTCTGACAACTGTGGAAAATGTCAAGTTTGGTATAGTCTATATTACTCTATGATAATAATTTTGTGACGTAAAGAAATAGTGCTGCCAACTCTAAGCTTGTATCCAACATTTAAGGACTTTTATTCAATTAATCTGTTGTACAAGTTGGGTAAATTTTAGTTATTTTATGTAATTAAGGTAAAGTTTTCATGTTAAATTCTTGATACTTATACAAAGTTTAATACTCGTGTTATCATTTCTTCCCAGCACTAACGTATTATTATAAACAGAAATCGTTATTCTCGAAAAACAATATTTATTTAAAAATCTTGAATTTCAGAACTAAATGTAATCGCTTTGTCGTGATAAAAATAAGATAGTGGTAAATTTGAACGCTGGCATTGGCAACATTAGTAGCGACCGTCGCGCTGCGCGTGGTAATCAACTATGAAATAAATCATTTGCTATTGTTCTGTACCGAAAATTTTCACGTATTACGAATTATAATATATTCAATGATTTTGTAACGAAATTAGTGTAGTGAAAATGACATTGAATATTTAGTCTACAACGATTAATTAGTTTTAGCAATCCGTTTATTTCTCTGACAGTGTAATAATCAGTGAGTATTATGAACTTTGAGGACTATGAAACGCTTCCGACCCAAAATTCCATCACACACATGACGGCGGGAGCGATCGCCGGGGTGATGGAACATTGTGTGATGTACCCGTTGGACTCGGTCAAGGTAAACGTCTGGATCCACCACCAGTTATTCCTAATTTTTGACATCTAACCTAGAATGACAATTATTTCTTGTTACGACACAATGTTACATAAAATAGAGATCCGGTATTTTCTAATTGAACACGAATGAAAAATCACGAACTTCTGCTATTTCCGATTACCATGTGATTGCGTAAAAACCGCTGAACATCAGTCATTCGTGTCCTGTTTTTGCAACATATTGTGTTACATGAAGTAATTAAAAAGTCAGAAATATATTTTTTCTAGTCGAGGTCCTTATAAAAAACTAAATAGATTTTGTCTTTATTTGACATAGTAACAAATACCCTGTTAGTATTAGGTTATATTTGTTATCTCTATTATGGTAAATAAATAATACATATTTGTTTACTAATGAACTTATAATTACATCTAATGTATTTATTATCCTGATATTATTTATTAATTGCTAAGATTTTTTAAAAATAACACAATAAATTGTGAGATTTGGCTCAAGAGTTCATAAATATATATATTTCAGGGTCCTTAATAAACTTTAAATATTTGTTTTTCCACATTATCATACCATTTATTTCAATATTTTTATTTTTCAACATAAATTTTATGGTTTGTTTATTATATATCCCATAGTGGCTTATATATCCAATAGGATTTAAAGTGTACCTTTTAAATTTTACCTTAAATGTAGTGAATATTATATCAATAGTTAATATAATATTCACTATATTTAAGGTAAAATTTAACTGGTACACTTTAAATACAATAATGGTAATTTTATTGTTTTGTATCTGCTCAGTGTTCTCTATAAATATTGTTATTTATAATTTACGATAGAAATGTTCCTTAATTAAATAGTTTATACAGTTTTGTTTGGTTCCAAACATATTAAAAAAAATATTCTAATTTGTCATGATATGATGACATTTGTATTAATATTTTATATATAAATGTTCATTAAAGTTTAGTTGAAAGTAAGTTAGGAAATTAATACTATACATATAAAGTAGATAAAAGAATTGTAATTTATTAATTTATGTATACTTAGTGATATTCATGGCAAAATGTCAGCTCTTATATATATATATATATACTTATTTGGTCTAGTTCTTATCTGAAAACTGGTTTGCAATAGTTGTTTCGTTTTTTTGGCTCAAATGCCAAATAGTGATACTCATAACCGTCAATCTTATGCCAACACATAAATGCATTATGGAATTCTATGTTTTTTCTTCAGTATGATTTTATATGATTAATATTATCTTTAAAACTCTTATTAGAAGAATTTCATAAAATTTCTAAGTTTCATTAAGTGTCTTTATTAATATTAATACATACAGCACATTTTTCAAACACTTTAAAGTTTACAATATTCATTTTTAAACAAGGAAATAATCTGCCTTGTTGGCTTTTTGCCAGCAAACCTGTGTAAGGAATGCTGTGTCACAGTCGTCTACCCCTTTTTGAGTTCCACATGCTCGTATTTTGTCCTCATTTCTTTTCCTAAAATCTTCTGGCATAATAGCCAATACAGCATCAACATCCACTGTACCTTCAGACAACATTCCAGCAGTTTCCATAAAACATTTCGTATAGCACTTTAGTTTTGGGTCGGGCATTAAGTCGGCTCCAGCATTTACCTTGTCAAGCAGGCTAAGATCAACCCCAGTTTCTGAAGAGCAACTATCTCTTAGCATCTTAGCCAATTCAGCCATTTCTTCATCCATTGCAAGAGTTGGTGACAATAAACACATTAGTAAAATATAATAATACATTATAAAGTTTGAGATGATGACTTAAAATGTAACTGATGATTTGGATAAAGTGTAAACAGTTTTATATAGAAGTTCTCAATGTCACATATATGTTCATTATTTTAGACATCTAAATTATAGGATGTTTTTCATAAAACACTTAATTATACCTAATATTTTAATACTGACTGCCAATTTGTAAACTGTAATTTCAATGGATAGTGTTTAACTATTTTTCAAAATTGTATGTTAGCTAAACTGACAATGACATGCAGTTTTCTTTAAATTGTATGTTTCATTGCTTTAAAGTGTTTTAATGGTTTTATAAAAATTAAGATTCTTGTTAAAGAAAGATTCCTTCTTCATCAATTGTATTAACAAAACATTTCTTTATGTTGGTGGTGAATCTATTATTTATAAAATTATGGAACTTTATGTTACATACACATTTAAATTTTTTTAGAATCTCATTATAAAAAAATTAAATACATAGTTAATATTTCTATAGTTATGTCCATAAATATGCCTCATGTCAGTTTTCTATTATAATATATTATTGTTATTACTGCATTGTTTGTTGTTTTGCATTTCAGACCCGGATGCAGTCTCTGCGATCAGCTCATAATGGCAGCATCGTTGAAACTTTCCGATATATGGTGCAACGGGAGGGCTTGCTCAGGTGTGTAATATGATTAAGTGTATGCTTGCTTACTAGCCATAACTAGGCCATGTTTAAATTTTATTGACTGCAATAAAAATAAATATAAAGCGCTGTATATTACAAAAGTGCAAATTAACACATAATATACTGTAAAGATGTTATACCTGAATAGAGCCCACTAATGTTGTAGATGTTTAAAAAATAGTATGTCATTTTTAGGTTCAATAATAAGAAATGCGTAGGTACGTATGTATTAAGAGTAACTAGGTCTTGTATTATATATTGTATTGAGTTAGTTCTGGCTCGGCACACAGCTAACCTCATAACTATGCAACACTCGCCAAATTCCCGCCGGCCGGCTTATTCGCGCTGTATTATTTTACTCATGTCACGTGTCCTTTCAATATCTAAATTCATTGTAATTTTAACTAATGCATTTAAATTGTATAAAATTTTATATTGTTCATGATATAAAAATAATTATAACCTACGTGGTGAAATACATATGTTTAATTTCAGATATTCGAAACGAAATGGAAATAATTTTTTCTTTTAAAAATAATAAGGTTTTAGTAAATGTTATGATTGTGAGAAACTGTATGAGGACTTCTTCCAATTCATTCGTTACTAGACTTCACCTACATGACCAGTGTAATAAACATACGTTAACAAAATACACCGCACAATTCTACAAAATATTTCTTTTATTGCATTTCCGCAGTAGGTTAAAATAACGAGAGACAACTTTCATATTTGTTTGATTAGGTAACTGGTTCATTTGGCCGATAAACTCTGTTGTATTGTTGATAAAAACGTTATTTTTTAAGTGCATGTGTGTGTGACAGTACTATCGCATCACGTAGAGTTATCAGTAGTACGTTGATTACAGCTATCGGATAGCTAGAAATACAAACATATGACAGGTGATTTAAAATGTCCCTAGCCACGTCACAGTTTCTCGCACTGCATGTTGTTTTTTTATGCATGCTTTTTCTAGGTTCACGTAATCTTTTATCTTCATCAAGCGGATAGTTCTGATCAGTCTGTTTTGATAACCGCTCGTATGCCGGGAGGGCATCGATCTGTAGGGAAATTACGTCACTGTCTTAATCTGGAGTTAGGTGGGTAAGTCACCAAAAGTAATGACCCACAAACCTCACGACACGTTAATGGCTTCGGCAATCGATTATAAAATTACATTTCAATGTTTTATGTATTTTATAATAAATGGAAAACCAAGATTCGATTAGAAATTGCGTCACCAAAGGTGTCACCGTTTACAGGTTTTAATCTGATAAGAGTACTATGTTTGCTATTTTGCATAGAAATAAAGCATAAAAGATCATCCCTCCATAGTCGGTATCTATCAAATATTAGCAGCCATTTGGATTAAATAAAACTGAGTGTTACGAGTATGGACTGCATAATCTTCGTTGTTGAATAAAAGGCGAGCCAATACTGACTAGTGCTTGCTGCCTTGGTGATCTCCTTTAGATATCAAATTAATCTAAACGTCTCCCAGTATTTATTTTAAAAACACTTCCCACAATTGCCCCTATCCCCTCCCCGGCGGCGGCGGTTGTTTTTTGGGGGCCCCCCCCCCCCAAAAAAAATATTAAATTTTTTTTTTAAAAAAAAAAAAAAAAAAAAAAAAACACCCCCCCCCCCCCCCCCCCCCCCCCACCACCCCCCCCCCCCTTTTTCCCCCCCCCCCCCCCCCCCCCCCCCCCCCGCCCCCCCCCCGCGGGGCCCCCCCCCCCCCCCCCCCCCCCCTGTTTTTTTTTTTTTCCGTATTTATTTTAAACGTGTGGATTAAATGTTCATTTCTTAGTTACCGGATGATAGGAATATATAGTAGTAACACGATAATTATATTAATTAAGGTTTCATTCATCTGTAAGTTGTAACTTACATAGTTGCGCCCAGTTATATATGATATTTGTAAATATTTTAAATTAGTTATAGACTGCAGTAAACGGTGCAAAAACAACTCTTATCTTATCAATTGTACGTGAATGAATTAGTTTGTGATAATGTATGTTAACATGTAATACTCCTGATAAGAGTGTCTCTTAATATCTTAGACATTACCATATTTTCTTGCGACTGTACCCAATTTGAAAATATACATAAATAAACTTATGGTTTGTCTGTGTGTCTGAGAAACGCTTCGCCTCCCATGGGAAAGGGAAGCGGCGACATCTCTTGATGCCAATACAAACTAACTTAACAGATCATATAACTCTGCCTCCAGGTCTTTTAAACAAGAGATTGCTAGGGCAGTCTAAGCACATTGTCAGATTTGGCAAGAGATTCGATGCACGTGTCCCGAAGTGCTGGTAGACTGCTTCAATACATCCGATTCCTAAAAATGCCTTCGATCGAGGTTGCCATAAAGCGCTTCTCTCGAAGCATCCAGCCTATGGGCTCTAAATTGTGCAACTGGATCTCTAGCTTTCTGGCCGTTTGGAGCATCAAGATCGTCATGTTCCGATTTCAAACCCTTAAACGCTGGGGTCTCACAAGGCTGTATGCTATCCCCGACCCTTACTCTTCTGCATATCAGATAGCACTGGGGATACTCTCTACATTGGCCGTGCAGGTATTCCTCGGGCAGTTGTCGGTCAGTACCGGAACAAACTGGTCTGAAGTCGAAACTCTGCTACTGATGTGGGGTCACCCTGTATATTCTACCGCATTTACCTGGGAGGATATTCAGACGAGCTGTTCGCAATATCTGTAGCTGAGTTTAACCGTTGGGCGTCGAGGCTGAACACGAAATCCACCCGTCGACATCCGTTATTTCACAACTGAGCGTTATTTAACGCAGTTTTTGCCGCGCACCACCACTATGTGCAACCATCTATCCCATGAAGTATTTCCGAACCTATTCGACTTAGGGTCCTACAAGAAAAGAGCGTACTAATTCTCAAAAGGCCGGGAATGCACTCGCGAGCTCTCTGGCATTAAGTGTCAATGGGCGGCGGTATCACTTAACATCAGATGAGCCCGTTTGCCCCCTGTTATATAAAAAAATGCCCAAGTCGTAGCTTATAATGTTAATATTTTCATTGTATGTTACAAGTATTAACTATATACTTACCAAGTTGCAATCTTTGAACGTTACTCATTGTTTTTTGTAGGTTCATTACTTACGTATAAAAAATTCACAATTTGTGATCAACAACTAACCGGTTCGGTTAACATGGTATAGCTATGTTGCCAAACAAGTACAAGGTTAGCTAATATTTTAGATAAAAGAGATCTAAAGACGCATAGTAATTTCTAATGTAATAAATATCAGTGTATTTTTTTTATTTATATTTTCACGCCTTTTCCCCGACAGGGTAGGCAGAGACCACGGATCGCCACTTGCTACGGTCCTGACATACGTCTCTCGCTTCAGACACTTTCATGACATTCACTATGCATGCTCGTCGGTTATGGGTACTTTTAACTTGTCCCTTCTCTAGTACGTCCTGGATTCGCTCCAGGTTTGTACACAAGGCCTACCCAACAAGACTCCACCGTCCACAGTTGTCTTGTACTCGTAAGCCGCTTCGTCCTTTGTATGTGGGCAAATCACCTAAGCATAAAATTTCTCCGATTTGGTAACGATAATTCTCAAAGAAGATAAAGTATTGTAAAGTTCATCCTTTCGTCTTTCTTAAAGTTTCGATCTACAAAATGTCTTTTACTAAGACAAAAGAGAAATAAACATCTTGAAAGATCAGTACTGCTTACCGTGGCCTCGCTTCTATTTAATTCTATGTTTAATAAAGTATTATTTTTATTGATTAGATTATTAAGATTAGATGATAAAGCCACTTATTATTTAAGCGATTATAAAATATTTATACCTTTTTCTGATATGTGAATTGCTTTTTTATATAAAACTAGCTGACCGGGCAAACGTCGTTTTGCCATATATATCATTTATAATAAAAAAATAGGGGTTGATCGTAGAGGGGAGTTAGGGGTTTGTATGTATTTTTAATGCTGTATCATAAAAAAATAAAAACAGAAAAATATATCTAAAAATAAAAAATAAAAATATTTAGGGGTGGACTACCCTTAACATTTAGGGGGATGAAAAATAGATGTTGTCCGATTCTCAGACATACACAATAAGCACACAAAATTTCATGAGAATCGGTCAAGTCGTTTCGGAGGAGTATGGCAACGAAAACTGTGACACGAGAATTTTATATACACTCGGCGTCAAAAAAATCACCTTTCTAAAATTCGTATCAAGCGATTATAACTCCGAAGATCCTTCCTGTACCCTATCATTATTAATATCATTTGAAAGCTAATGAAATTCCTTATTAAAAAACTGTAGGAAATAGGCCACCACCCC